CCATCGAGTCGCTTGCGACTCATAGCGACCCTATGTACAACAGCCCTAAACTCTGCTCTGTCCTGTGCCAATCGCACTGTCTCTGACACTCCCATCCCGAGTATCCCAGTCACTGAATCAATCTACCTCATAGAGGGCCTACCCCTCCTGCACTGATACTATCTATACTGACTGTTAATATAACTAGTACTAAAACATATGTACAAATAACTAAAGCCAAAGAGAAGGAAATTGAGGATTTTCACTAACTTGATTTAAGAAGCTGGACCTTAGGAAGAAGAATGTGGCAAAAGGATCAGTGGAAGGCTCACCAACGACTTGCGTTAAGCAGATGATACAACCTTGCTTGCTGAAAGTGAGGGAGATTTAAAACACTTGTTGCAGAAGATCAAAGACCACAGCCCTTAGAGAAAACAGTGCAACAATGAATGAATGAGAACCCAAAATCTCTGTAAATGTTCATTAAAACTAATAAAATTTAATAATAATAATAATAAAAAAGACCACAGCCTTCAATATGGACTACATCTCAACATCAAGCAAACAAAAAACCTTACCACTAGGCTGGCTGGCATCATGAGAGATCAAGAAAAGACAAAAACTATGAATGATTTCATCTTCATCTTATTTGTATCTATCATCAACAACAAAAAGCTTTGATTTTAGCATAGGTTTCAAAAAGAAGATTGCATTTTTACAAAGCTCAGCAAGAGGAGAAACAGACAAAAAAGGAGTGTGAAGTGGCAAAGAAGCTGTGGGCTTCAGACCAGAAAACCTGGGCTATATCTACAGGAGTTGGAAAATATTTAATAATCTGTCAATAAGGGATAAGTAATAAAATTCACTTAGTAGTGAGAACTTGGAAAATGAATTATCTATGAACAGTTTTGATAGGGAGCTCTGGAGGCCTAATGGTAAGGAGTTACACTGTCAACCCGAAGGCACATGGAATAAATTTAGCAGCTACTCTGTGGGAGAAAGATTGGCAATGTTCTCTTGTGCAATTAAACTGTGTCTGAAAACCTGCTGGAGGACCTCTATGTACATTGACTCAACAGTATTCAATAACAACAATAGTTCTGATGCAACATTTGGCAGAAATGCTTAATAGTCCCAAAGATAAAAAAGAAATTAGATGCCTTAGTTCAGAAGGCTGAGGATTCGGAAGGCTAGAGACTAAGACATAAGGGTAGGGCAGAAGTGAGAGCTAGTTCAAAAACCAAGACCAATTTATAACTGGTAATAAACTAAAAATGCTCAACATTTTTAGATAATTTCAAAGCAGTTGTAGACTTATTAGATATGAATAAAATTATGACCTAGACTACTATCATTAACTAATTAATGACAAATAACTAAAATTAATTAATCAATTTTGAATCTATCACTTCATCCTTCAGAAGTTTAAAAATCATTGAAATTTAGCATGTTGATAAATTTCTTTTCCAAAGATTTAGGTTGAAAAGGCTTTCAACTGTGTACTTTCCAAACCATTCTTCTATACTTGCCTGCTTTCTTACTAAGCTTGTACAAGAAAGTCTGACGAGGGTCTGAATGATCTCGACATGTCAGTTGCAAAAGAGAACCTGATTTTTTCCATTTCTGCATAAACCAGAGACCTATAAAATGAGAAATGATCTGTGAGTATAAATGAAAATATGTATGTCAAGGTGATTAATGTCAATAAAATTAAATTTAAAAAGGATACTTCCAAAAGTATCATTTTGACGAAGAAAAACTGTGTTTGCAAACTATTAATATTTTCTGATAGCAAATGTAAGTGTATACACACACATATATATTAAGCGGGTTAACAGTGGTTCATAGAGGACTTTGTATTTTTATCACGTTCAGAAATGAACAGATAATGATATGTGAATAACAGAAAATTGAAGCTTTAGATATATTAAACTGTAAACAAACAAAGAGGAAAAACTTTTTACCTGTGTTAACAAGAGCACTGCTATTGTAGAGTGTACCAAGGTGAGGTCCAGAAAGAGACAGAAACGTGTGAAGTTTGTGCAGGTAATACTTAAATCTTGGCCTTGTAAGCACTGAACGGATTATTAAATTGCCCAATGAATGTCCAATAAAGCTTTAAAAGGGAAATGAAAAAGATTACATTTTCACCCATAGCAAGTTTTAAAAACTAAAAATCAACATGAGTATCACTATACATAAAAAATAACCTTTATTGTGAAGAGAAAATTATGACAATGAGTAGAAAATTCTCACTATTAAGGAATTTTTAAGAATGATATTGTCAAGGAAATTCATTTATTGTCCATAACTTCTTAAAAATAAATTTAAAAAGTAATCACACTGATTGACTGGATGACAACTATTGCTCTTTAGGCAAACACATAATTTACGTGCTCATTAAATCATGATTTCAAATTGAATAATGCATCTAACATATAAAGATAACGTAACGATAAAAAAAAGACATATGGCTTCTTTTGTATTCTTTTTTTTTTTTCAGCAGGGAGAACTTTTTAATGGCTTTGGTGTATTCTTTTGTTTATACTCTAAGATGGAAAAGTTCTTCAAATAATAGTACTTTCCAAACACAGTTAAAATACGTATGTTTCCCTATTACAAGTTGAAGATTACAGAAAAAGAACGATATTTATAAAGAACTTCACCTTAGGGAGCTCTAGAGGTCTAGTGGGTAAAGAGTTGTGCTGTGAACGCAGACAGGCAATCTGGGCCCACCAGCCACCCTGCAGGAGAAAGATGGGCAGTTTCCTCCTGTATAATTTATAGCTTCTGAAAACATACAGGAGGGCCAACTAAGACTTGGTTCTGACTTGATGGCAATGAGTTGTTGCGTCACTGAATAGTACAAACGGTTAACACTCTCAAACTCTAACCAAATTGGTAAAAAGTTCCCTGATTTCAAATCCTACTACACTGCCGTAGTGGTAAAGACAGCATGGTACTGGTACAATAACAGACACATAGATCAATGGAAT